GATGTTCTGTTTCAATTAACAGAATGTTTTTTGCTTTACACCTGAAAATATTTTATTTATTCAAGGTACTTGTATAGCACTGTCAATTTACGTAGCGCTTTACGTATACACTAAATTGCCAAACGTATTGGGACACACCTCCAAATCATTGCATTCAGGTGTTCCAATCGCCTCCATGGCCACAGGTGTATAAAATCAAGCAACTAGGCATGCAGACTGCTTCTACGAACATTTGTGAAAGAATCTCAGGAGCTCAGTGAATTCAAGCATGGTACCTTGATAGGTTGCCACCTATGCAATAAGTCCATCTGTGAATTCGCCAACTGGCTGCAGAGTCAATAGCTAAAAATCTTCAAACTTCATGTGGCCTTCAGATTAGTACAGCAATCATGCGTAGAGAGCTTCATGGAATGGGTTTTCATGGCTGAGCAGCTGCATCCAAGCTTTACATCACCAAGTGCAATGCAAAGCGTTGGATGCAGTGGTGTAGAACACACCACCACTGGGCACTGGAGCAGTGTTCTTTGGAGTGACTGGTAAAACGATGGATGTGTCTAGGTTTGGCGGTTGCAAGGAGAACAGTACTTGCCTGACTACATTGTTTGAAGTGTAAAGTTTGATGGAGGGGGGATTATGGTGTCGGGTTGTTTCTCGGGGGTTGGGCTTGGCCCCTTAGTTCCAGTGAAGGGAACTCTTAAGGCGTCAGTGTACCAAAACATTTTGGACAATTTCATGCTCCCAGCTTTGTGGGAACAATCCCTTCCTGTTCAAACATGGCTGCACACTAGTGCACAAAGCATTGTCCATAAAGATATGGATGAGTGAGTTTCGGGTGGTGGAACTTGACTGGCCTGCACAGAGACCTGACCTCAACCCGATAGAACACCTTTGGGGTGAATTAGAGTGAAGACTACAGGCCAGGCCTCCTTGTCCAATATCGGTGCCTGACCTCACAAATGCTTTTCTGAAAGAATGGTCAAACATTCCCATAGACACCCTCCTAAACCTTCCCAGAAGAGTTGAAGTTGCTATTGCTGCAAAAGGTGGGCCAACTCAATGTTAAACCCTATGGCCTAAGACTGGGATGCCATTTAAATTCAAGTGTGTTTAAAGGCAGGCGCCCCAATACTTTAGCAGTATAGTGTATATTGTACATTCATATCAGTCCCTAACCCTCAAGGCACTTACAGTATAACGTCCCTAACTTACATTTATACATACACATACTAGGGCCAGTTTAGACAAAAGCCAGATCACCTATCAGCATGTCTTTGGAGTGTGGGAGGAAACTAGAGTACTCAGAGGAAACCCACCCAGGTACAGGGAGAATATGCAAACTCCAGGCAGATGGTGTGGTTGGGATTCAAACTGACAATCCTAGTGTTGCCAGGTAGACCACTTTACATTCTCTAACTAATAATCATTGGGATTGATTTACTAAAACTGGTGCATATCTGCATAGAAACCAATCAGCTTCCAGGTTTTATTGTCAAAGCTTAATTGAATAAGCTGAAGTTAGAAGCTGATTGGCTACCATGCACCGCTGCATGACATTTTTCACTCTCCAGTTGTAGTAAATCAACCCCTTCATATCTTATTTGTGTAGTTTAGCTTTCCCCTAAGGCACATGTATCAAACACAAGGCCTATGGCCCGAATCTGGCCATTTTATGTGGCTCCTTCATCTCTCCTGCAGCTGCAGCACCTCCCTCATCTCCACCTCCACTATGTCTCAGCAGTCAGCAGCAGAAAGGAGGACAGAACTCCTCCTACAAATCTAGCGCCTCTCAGTGCAGCCGCAGCACCCCCTCGTCTTTGTCTTCCCTGGTCTCAGCATTCAGCTGTCTCCAGACCCTGCACTTTCTTCTTCCCAGCCCTCAGCTTCTTCCTGGCAACAGCACAAGGTAAGGGGGGGGGGACTCTAAGTAAGGGGGGTGGGTAGGGTGGGTGCTCAGGGCATTTAGTCTTACAGATGCAACTGGCCCATTTGAGGGCAACCATAATTTTGTGGCCCACGATGAAATTGAGTTTGAAACCCCTGCCGTAAGAGCTCATTTGGACATGCAAAGAAATTTAAGTGCCCATTAACCTCCCTGGCGGTATTCCCGAGTGTAGCTCAGGGTAAAGTTTCAGTACCACAAGCGGTAACCCCGAGCTACACTTGGGCTTACCATGCGGCGCTGCTCCGGGATCTGTTCTTCACTTACCTTGTCCTGCGCTCCTGCGATGTCCCTCCTGCAGTGTCCCCGGCAATGTCCTCCTGCGGATGCCGGCATCTGTCATCTGGGTTCCATCCCCTGCGAGCGTCGGGACGTACGGGCACGGAATGGCGGGAAATCTGAAAATGACAAAAAGTGACATTCACTAAAATCACATAGTAAAACATTACTGTATCAAACCATTTCACATACATTTTGTCCCTAGTGCTTTGTCCTGTGCCCTGCCTGCATTTTTTACTGTTCTTTCTGCCTGGAAACAGAAATGTCCATGGCGTCCAAAAAAGTGTCCCTTTTAGGTCAAAAGCGGTTTTAGATCAGCTAGAGAACAGCGATAGTAAATCAGAACCACTTGCAGAATTGAGTGATAATGATTCGTGGGGAAATTCGTCATCAGACACTGTAAACGATTTTGTGACTTTGCTCAGTGATGTGCGAACTTGGCGCTATATTTAAAATTTCAGTGTTTTTGGTTTGATTATATTATTGAATTTATTATTATTATATTATTATTTTTTATGATTATTTATTAAATTATAATTTATGATTCGTGTTTCAAATTTTAACATACCCGGGATGTTTACTAGACTCTTGTTCAGACAGATTTCAGTGAGTTATTCCTAAAAATTACAGGCCTACAATAAAAAAAATACATATTTCCATGCAAAAAAATGTACCGCTTGAGAGCACAGAAATATGGACATAATCAGACCGCTAGGGAGGTTAATGCGCCTAAATAACACTTGCCAGACCCCCATGTGTTGGGTTTTTATTATATGGGTTTTTGTATAATATCGGCATGCGTTCTAAACACATCTCAAACGCACTGTAAATGCCATAGAGGCATCTGTGATGCGTTTGTAGTGTGTTTGCAGCGCATTTACATTGACATCAGTGGAAGTGTTGGGGGATTGGCAAAGCCTGGCAAACGACAAATGTCAACTGTCAATTTTGACACAACACTAACACAACCATGCTCTGCAATGCACACAATTTTGACAGCTGTTCATGGAGCTTCAAAAATGTTCATGAAGCTCCTGCTTTTGAAATTAATGTAAATTTAGCATTAGGATTAACAGACCTATATTAGTTGATAAATTAGCTTTTGGTTCAGGTAGATTGGTTCTGGTAGTTTTTGATGCAGATCGCCCAGCATAATCTGCAATACTATACCATAAAGCCGGCCATGGATAAAATCAAGAAGAAAATTTGGCTGGTTCAGCAGGGACTGGCCACATTTTGATCAGTGTGTGTCCATCCCCGCTCGACAGCAGCAGGTGCAGCTGTCAGAATACCATTTCCTTGTGAAGGGAGGGGGGATTCCTCCATCCACCTCTTTTGTGTGGATGGAAGAATCTGGCTGAACAAAAAAAAATAAAAAGAACTACCCATCTATGGCCAGCTTAAGTCCCCCCACAGTTACCCTTGTATTGTAGATTAATTGGTTCATTAATGGGATCCTCTGAACACTGCCTGACTCATACATTAATGAATAGGTTCAGTTTGCGTGGTTTAATGAGCTGTAACCAGCTGGAAAATGAGGACATACAAATAGCAGTGAATGTTGCAAAGAACTCTTCCTCTTCATACAAGGAACTTGGCAGTGTCTTATTATATATTTGTGCATTTAGAATATAATTGTATCTGTACATTCTTCCTGCATTGTGTTTTGGGATTATTTGCGTTATCCATTTGGCGCCCTTTGTTAGTTTCCTTCTAAGGGGAAAAAAGACGGATCCTTTCACTTCACACCTGTTCCTTGAGGGTGTGGGTGTAGATGTAGAACACAGCCAAGACATACAAAGTCAAGGATCCCACATTGGTGTATGTAATCAAACAGGCCTGGTAAAAAAAAAAAAAAAAAAAAAACTTTAATGCATTTTCCACTCTCATAAAGATTCCTTCCCTAAAGCAGGCCATAAGTTAGAATAGTGGGTTGAGCGATAAAGAAAGGATCTGATTCCCCCATCCACACATTTGAGGTGTATGAGGGAATCCTCCCTACTAAGTTATTATATTCTGACAGCAGGAAGACTTGCCCACTATCAGAATACACTGATCAGCTCTGCAGGCTATAGCATGCGGTTCTAATCAAACGGAAAAATACCGACAGGCTGGTGGTATAGAAGTTGATTGACTGAAATTCGGCTGGTTCAGCAGGGACCAACCAAATTTTGATCCAAATACAGGCAGGCTGGTGTTACAGAAATCGATTTGCCAAAGTATGGCCTCCTTTTTTAATATGTGATTATCCTGCGCCTTCCACAAAGAACCTAAACCCTCCTACTCCTGTACTGTGAAACCAGGAAGGCTGCTAGCAAAAAAAGTGTTCCCACAAGAAAATATTAACTAACAAATATATGTATTGCTGTGCCATCCTGTATATAAATCAGTGTAGTGAAATACAACCTAATAATCAGATAAATCAAATAAATAACCTCCACATTTCCATATCAAATATTAATTAGTGCATATAAATCAGTGCTCAGCATCACTGTTAGTGGAAATCGATAAATAATCACTGCAAACGTCCTCAGTACATGTGATAGATGTGTATAGATGTGTTCCTTATATCCGTATTCCACCTCCTGTGTTAATTTCACACCATGCAAGTATGTGCTTGCCACCACCATTCAAGCTTGCACTCACCTCCACTCATGGAGCTGCCCTCTTACAGGTCATTTGCGCTGTTTCACCTTAACTAAGATCATTAAATAGATGCTTCTCCCATATATGAACACTCTTTATGCTGATGTCCCGTCCTGCTTCCTCTCTATGGTAACTCAGATTCCGGGTGGCCTGGTCCCTTAAATATGTGGTCTCTGTGATCTGCGGTATGCTCACACAAAGGTATCTCCATAGCATAGTAGTTACAATCAGAGGCGGACTGACCATTTGGAAACTCGGGCACTGCCCGAGGGCCCAGGTCAGTAGGGGGCCCCATGAGATGCCCCTGGTACCTTTTTCATAGGCTTTTTTAAGTTTGGGCAAGGACACGGGCCCCATGATCCCCTATTGCCCGGGGGCCCCATGAGTTGTCAGTCCGCCCCTGGTTACAATATTAAAATGTATTAGTTAAAATTGCACTCACATATGTAGTAATCAAACAGGCATAGATATCTGATAGGGGAGCGCCAGCTCTCTCGTCCCTTCCAATCTCCGCCTCCTGATGCCCGGTTCCGACTATACGCATATCATCATGGTCACGTAACTTCTTCAGTAGTATGTCGCTCCATTTTCTATGGGGTGGCAGCGTGCGCCCTCGGCTCGGGAGGTTGCCGTCTCAGCCAATGAGGAAGAAGAGTCCCGGTAGAACCACCGCTCTTGTGCACACCGCTGGATCCTGATGGGGTTCAGGTAAGTATTGGGGGGACTGCTGCATGCAGAAGGTTTTTTTATCCTAACCCCAGAAACCACTAAGCAGCTCATCCACTCCCTCATTATATCACGACTCGATTACTGCAACTCCCTCCTCACTGGCCTGCCACGCCACAGGCTATCCCTGCTTTAGTTGATCCTGAATACGGCTGCCAGACTCATCCACCTTACCAACCACTCCGTTTCCGCCACTTCCCTCTGCCAATCCCTCCACTGGCTTCCAATTGCCCAACGGATAAAATTAAAAATCCTAACACTGACGTACAAAGCTGTCCACCATACTGTCCCAAACTACATCACTGACCTAATATCCAAGTACCGCCCAGCACGCACACTCCGCTCCTCACAAGACCTCCTTCTCTCTAGTTCCCTGGTCTCCTCCTCCCATGCCCGCCTCCAGGACTTCTCCAGAACGTCACCCATACTCTGGAACTCCCTACCCCAATTCATCAGACTATCACCTACTCTCCTCTCCTTTAGGCGCACCCTGAAAACCCACCTCTTCAGGGAAGCCTACCCCACCCCCTGCTAATTCCCGACCTCCTCCACTCTTCCTACCACTCCATCCCCCACAGCTATCTCCTCCTGTACCACTATCCTCTTCCTCCTAGATTGTAAGCTCCAAGGAGCAGGGCCCTCGGACCCCTCATGTATCGCATTGTATTGTTGTTGTACTGTCGCATGTTCTATCTCCCATTGTAATGTACAGCGCTGAGCAAACTATTGGCGCTTTATAAATACTGTATAATAATAATAATATCCTCATGCATAGAATGCATGGAGGTAAAAAAAACCTTGAGCCTTCCCAACCACTTTAAAGTTTACATCTTCTTTAAGCCCTGTCCTTTAAGTTCAAACCCCTGCATTTCAGCAGCCCAGTGCCAGATCATCAATAGACTTGAGAGTCCTATACTTGACATCATTAGGGAGCTATGTGTAGGCTTAAACTAAATTTGAAGAGAAGCTAAAGCCCAATATACAGCCTGGGTATACAGTGAAGGAAATAAGTATTTGATCCCCTGCTGATTTTGAATGTTTGCTCACTCACAAAGAAATGATCAGTCTAAAAATCGAATGGTAGGTGTATTGTAACACTGAGAGACAGAATAGCAACAAAAAATTCAAAAGAAATGCATGTCTAACAAATGATGCACTGATTTACATGTTCATGAGGGAAATAAGTACATGACTTAGTACTTGGTGCCAAGTACATGACTTAGTACTTGGTGGCAAATCCCTTGTTGGCAATCACAGAGGTCAGACGTTTCCTGTAGTTGGCCACCAGGTTTGCACACATCTCATCCTTGGACAGCTCTTTGGTCTTTGCCATGGTGGAGAGTTAGGAATCTGATTGTTTGATTGCTCCTGTGGACAGGTGTCTTTTATACAGGTAACAAAATGAGATTAGCAGCACTCCCTTTAAGAGACTGCTTCTAATCTCAGCTTGTTACCTGTATGAAAGACACCCGGTAGCCAGAAATCCTGCCGAATGATAGGGGATCAAATACTTATTTCCCTCATGAACATGCAAATCGGTGCAGAATTTGTTAGACCTGCATTTCTTTTGAATTTTTTGTTGCTATTCTGTCTCCAAGTGTTACAATACACCTACCATTCGATTTTTAGACTGATCATTTCTTTGTGAGTGGGCAAACATTCAAAATCAGCAGGGGTAAATACTTATTTCCTTCACTGTAGGTCCTACTGGTTCTCTAATACACATAGGAATTTATGTAGGGCCCATTTACATTGTTGCGGTACATTAACCCATGTTATGTTTCACATTAATGTGTTGCATTTTGGGCAGCCAATGCATCAAAATATCCCAAAAATCAGCCACTGTGAACTGTGTTGCACATGTTTTCTCATTCAGAATGAATGGCATAACAATGCATGCAATGCACTTTATCGCATGTTGTGGTTATGCACTTGTTCACACAATGCATAGATGTAAATGGACCCTTCATCATAGCAGAAGACACTTGGGGGTTTATTTACTAAAGCTGGAGAGTCCAAAATCAGACTCCCTTCTGCATAGAAACCAATCAGCTTCTAACCTCAGCTTGTTCAATGAAGCTTTGGCAATGGAACCTGGAAGCTGATTGGTTTCTATGCAGAAGTGAGTCTGATTTTGGACTCACCAGCTTTAGTAAATAAACCCCTTGGTGCCTGCACTTTCAATACTGGTTCATATCCTTTATTGGACATGACAAGTTCGCTTCATTAATTTCAGATTATCCTATGACGGTTTTTGAAGATGTAAAGAAAAACAAACCTTTTGGAATGAATACTATATATTACAAAATGTATAAAGCGTGAATTTTGCACCAGGGACCCATGTGTTGACCCTAGTTGTAAGGCCATCCACCACCATCCCAAAACATGAGATGTTCTGAAGCCATTGTCACTCCTGAGCCAGCCACTGATCTGTTACATGTGTGTTAGCAATAAAACCAAGATCACTGAGATAATTCATATACTAAACTTTCAGAAATGCAGAATAGATTCTGAGCTTGTTTCACAGAGCACCAAAAAAACTGCACACACTGGGAAGTTGGTCTGAAATGGTAAATTCTGGCCCCTATTTTACTGGAGAGAATCATATTAAAAAAAAAGTGTATATTTATATAGATAACTTATTTTCAGATATAAGGCTTTCTTAGGGCTTGTTTACGTGGGCAATTGGGTGGCAAAAGCAGGCGGTTGAGCTGCGGTGTTATTGCCCCTATACTGTCCACCTAAAGAAGTACATTCAGCTGCTCAGAGCTGTACCCCATGTCACTGTAAAAATAAAAATGTCTATTTCACACAGTTATGTGGCGAGGTGATTCGGCCTTTTAACATAATGCCTCCTTGCTGCCTGTCAAGCACTCTCTGAAAAACGATCTGTGGTGGATTGCTTTTCAGAGAGGTTCCTCGGGGTACTCCGGTTTCCTCCTACACTCCAAAGACATGCTGGTAGGTGAATTGGATCCTGTTTAAATTTTACTAGTATGTGTATGTATGAATGTAAGTTAGGGACCTTAGATTGTGCGCCCCCTGAGGGTTAGGGACTGATGTGAATGTACAATATATATGTAAAGCGCTGCGTAAATTGATGGCGCTATATAAGTACCTGAAATAAATACTTGCTGCCTAATGTATCCCATTGACTTTCAGATGCCATTGTAACAAGATAATGAATGTTATTCACTAATTCTCAGTGTTCATAAAGTTATGACTGATTGGTGTGCATGAAAATGTGTGTGTATGTATGTGTGTATATATATATATATATTTAGTTTTGACTATGGCCCGTTCTCAAAATAACATAACGTGGTCATTCTGCCCTGTTCACTCTTTAATCCTGTAAAGTGTGTTTTCAGTGATAGGTGTACTTTAAAGTGGAGCTCCACCAAATGGGGAAGTTCCGCTTTAAGGACTGCTCCCCCACTCCCCATTAAGGATTGGCACCTTTTGGGGGTGGGTACCCCAATTTGACAGGTACTCGCTCCCACTTCCGGACCGATCGCCTAGGCTATTGGAAACTGAAGGTGTCCTCCCTTCCTGTAGTCTTTTGGGACACGTGACAGGTCCTAGAAGACTACAGGACCATTCATGAAGCGCAGCGCTACTCGCAATTTCGCAGTGGGTACTTGGCTGTGAAGCCGCAAGTTATCACAGCCGGGTGCCCACATTGAAGATGCCGGCCTCCTGGAATACAGGACGGCCGGTGAAACGAGCTGCAGGGGACTCACCGAGGGACAGGTAAGTGGCTGTTTTTTAAAAGTCAGCAGCTACAGTTTTTGTAGCTGCTGACTTTTATTTTTTTTGACAGTGTGAGTGGAACTCCACTTTATGCCCTCATGCACACTTGGCGTTTTTACAGCAGCTGTTTTTGGCTTCTGAAATTTTTTTCTACAGCCAGTAAATTGCCCAGCATGTTATCCTATGTGTCCATGCACACATCGACTGTAATCAACGTGTTTTGGCTGGAGAAAAAACCCAGGACTAATGGGTTTCTAGAGGAGTTTTTTTTTTTTAGCTTTAAAAATGCTCTAATGCGGCCAAACGCGGTAAAAATTCCACAAACCGGCATTTTTCTTTGGTAAAAAAAACTGCGGGAAAACACCGCTAATTGTGTCAAAATGCCACTAAACGTTAATGCAAAAACGCTAAACAAAAGCTGAAAAACTCAGGTTTTTAATGTGACTTTACACAGCTAACGTTACCAGCGTTATCCAAGCGTCAAGTGTGCATGAGAGCTTAATAGCGCATCACTACGCTCGGCCATTGTACTCTTGAAATCTGTGCTCTCCCTGGGCCTGACTTGGGAGCATTAAATCATGCATGTCAGTTTGCTGTGTCATGTGCTGGAAAGGTGAAGCATGGCACCTGTAAGTAATAAGTGTTGATTAGATGATGTCGGTAATTGTCAGTTTCCTTCTGAGGATCATTCCATTGTGTGCTACTCATACACGTGTGCCTGTGGTGTGGGCTTGTCCTAGATGTGTCACAGGACTGAGCTGCTAAGCAGAGGATCCTGTGAGTTTGTTACTGGGCTCTCGTACAAAAAGGTTTCATCTGTCACGTAATCCTTGTGCTGTGCGCTGTTTATCTCGCACCCAGGCGGGCCCTCTCTTCTCTGCTCTGTCTGATTAGATTGTGTGGACAGTTTTCAGTTTCATCCTGGCTGACAAGTGCAGTTCGCTTCTTCTAACAGGTTCCTGGGTGGAGCTCCAAATGAACAGCAACGGGAATAATGTAGACAGCAACAGGAATGGAGGCCTGGAACATGTGCCATCTTCCTCCTCAATCCACAATGGAGACATGGAGAAGATCCTTCTGGATGCCCAACATGAGTCTGGACAGAGCAGTTCCCGAAGCAGCTCGCAGTGTGAAAGGTGGGACCTTGTGAAGTTCTCTGCAGTAGAGTAGAACTATATTAATGGTATTATATGCTAGAATTATATCATAGGGCCCCTGTAGCAGAGGTTCCTTATTAAAGGAACACTGGACTTCACGCTGGTTGCCTGGCTGTCACTTTAATCCAACAGCAGTAATACCAAAGCTGGCCAGACACTGATGGAAATAGGGGTTATTTTGGCAGGGACCAGCCGAATTTTGATTGGTGTGTGGCCATCCCTGCCTCTGTTGAAGGGACGTGCTGGAAGACTTTTCTTCAGTAATCAGTGTATTCTGACAGCTGCAGGTCCGACTGTCAGAATACAATGTCCCGGCTGGGGTGATTCCTCCACTTACCTTGTTTATGTGGATGAAGAAATCCTGCTTTTTTTTTTTTTTTTTTTTTTTTTTTTTTCATTTACCCCACTTGTGAACAGAAAGAACATTGAAGGGAGAATTGTTTGATTTTATTTCTTTACTACTGGTATTTATACCAACAATTTATGCCACGATTTACATATATTTTCTATCTTGCCATTAGTCCCTGCCCTCAAGGAGCTTACAATCTAAGGTACCTAACTCACATTCATGCTTATGTATACTAGGGCCAAATCGGGGGCGGACTGACAACTCATGGGGCCCCCGGGCAATAGGGGATCATGGGGCCCCTATGTCCTTGCCCACACGCAAGAAAAAGCCTATAAAAAGGTACCAGGGGCATTTCATGGGGCCCCCTACTGACCCCGGGCCCTCGGGCAGTGCCCGAGTGCTCGAATGGTCAGTCCACCCCTGGGCCAAATTAATATGGAGACAATCAACCTACCAGCATGTCTTTGGAGTGTGGGAAGAAAGCAGAGTACTCTGAGGAAAACCACGCAGGCACAGGGAGAGCATGCAAACTCCAGGCAGCCAGTGTTGTGGATGGAGTTTGAACCAACAACCCTGGTGCTTTAAGGCAGAAGTGCTAAACACTTAGCCGCTGTGCTGCTTCTTGTACATAAACCATATAAGGCTAGCTTTACCGTAACCACTTGCAGACCTCCTACCGCAAATATACTATACATGTACATGATCCGACATTTCTGGGTAGGGTGCGCGTACTCGTGCCACCCTGTCTGTGCTGTAATTCGCTACAGCACAAGCTGATCAGCAGATCCCAGCCAATGATTTATGATCAGGATCTGCTGATTAGCAAATGACTGTTCAGAGCCCTGTGTTTACTAACAACACAGGGCTCGGAACTGAGAGCAGTGATGTCTGTTTTTTTTTTCTCCCTGCAAAGCATAGAAAAAAAATGAACACATCTGGTATAAAAGCAGCACATGTAGCACACATTACACATTGTTAGGCACACAGTTAACCCTTTGATTGCCCCTAGATGTTAAACCCTTCCCAGCCAGGGTAATTAATATAGTGACAGTGTACAGTATTAGCACTGATCACTGTATTCGTGTCACTGGTGATGTCCGTATCCAGGTTTCTTGATGCCTTTTTTATGAAGTTAAAGGAAACCCATATTTTGAAAACCTATGGTGTCTGCAGTTGCTGACCGCCTCCTGAAAATCCAAAATACTGGCTCTGTGGAACTAACTGACTTGGATGTAAGGCCCCATATCCTTATATAGCCTTTTTGCTGGCAATTTTGGGTTTTATTTACTTGTTGCTTTGATGAAATATAGAATTCATCCTGGCAGACTGCCCTCATACGTTTTTTCTTATGTCATCAGGAGCCAGGTTCTTGCAGCCAGCCTTCTTATGACACACTGCCAGGTCCTTCCTCCTCCAGTTGCTGCATAGAAGCCAGTGTTTCCTGGGATATCTGATGTGGATATCACATGAAGCTGCAGGGGCAGAGTATATGTCATTCTTGCCTAGGCAAGAATGGAGGTAGGGGACAAGGTGGAGTATGAAGAAAAAAAAGAAAGGTAAACTAACTACTTTGGGACCGGCTTACATACATATATGTCACCGGTTCGGAACCTTATAACGGGCTGATGCCTGCAGTTGCAGGAATCAACCTGGTATTTAAAAAAAAAAACAAATTCTGCGGGCTATTCTCTTTTTAGTAAAATTGATCCGAGCAGCTGTCCCAATACTTTTGGCAATATAGAGTTCTTAGGTCGCGCAGGCATATGTAAAAGGTGTTCACACCACACATGTGAGCTATCGTTGCAAACATTATAGCAAGAGCAATAATTCTAGCACCCGAGCTCCTGTGTATCTCTAAACTGGTAACCTGTAAATGCTTTTAAAGCGTCATTTATGGACATTTTTAAGTACTGTCGTTTTTCAATATTCCACAAGCATGCATAATTAAAGCATGACTTGTTGGGTATCTATTTACTCGGCGTACCAAAACAATTGGGTGTTATATTGTGCTTTTGTGCATTAAAATTAATTAACGTCATCCTTACCGCGCTATAGCTGAATGATGGCTACAGTACGGTTGTCCAGTTCTGGCAGGGCGTCATATGACGTCCTCCCAGAACGCGCCATCCCGCACGCCCCTGTTGATCTCCATGATCACATGATGAGGTAAAAGACCAATCACATCAGCCTTTTACCACGTGCTCAGCTGTGTCCAATGACTCGGCAGATCACTGAGTAAATACAGTTGCCAGTTATCAGCTGAGGAAAGTACTGCCGATAACCAGCAGCTGTCACAGAGCAAATCAGCACTCATGATCAGTGCCACCCATCAGTGCCCTGTGCTGTGCCCCCCGTCAGTGCCATCAGTCAGCACTACCTATTAGTGCATATCTGTGCAGCATCATCAGTGTCTCCTCATCAATGCCCACCAGTGCCACCTCATCAGTGCTGCCTATCCATGCTACCTCATCAGTGCCCATCAATGCTGCCTATCAGTGCCGCCTCATCAAAGCATCTCAGTGAAGGAGAAAAATTACCTGTTTGCAAAATTTTATAATAGAAACAAAAAAAAAGCTTTTTTTTTTTTCCAAATTTTTTCGGTCTATTTTTTTTGTTTATAGTGCAAAAAATAAAACACGCAGTGGCGAAAAAATACCACCAAAAGAAAGCTATATTTGTGTGAAAAAAAAAGATAAAAATGTCATATGGGTACAGTGTTGTATAACTGCGCAATTGTCATTCAAAGTGCAACAACTCTGAAAGCTGAAAATTGGCTTGGGCACAAAGGGCAAAAGTGCCCGGTAGGCAACTGGTTAAAGTATCTTTTCCCAAAAAAATTGCGTTTGAAAAACCGTTGTGCAAATACCGTGTAACATAAAAAATTCAACAACCATCATTTTTATTCTCTAAGGCCTTGGCTTAACAAAAATACATATAGCGTTTTTTTTTTGTTTTTTTTTTAAGTAGTTTTTCTATAAAAAAAAAAAATTACTGATTTTCTTTTTTTTTTTAAATGTAAACAAAAAAATGTTAGAATTGGCCTGGTCTTAAATTGGCCTGGTCTTAAATTAAAATTTAAAATGTAAAGGCCCGCTCTAACATGTTTGTTCTGTAGCACTGATATTGCAAATGGAAAAGCTGACAATTTCTATATGTACAAAAAAATTAACCTGTATAGAATAGTGTTCTAGACACATAGCTGCTACTGTGTACATTGCTGAGAGACGTTTTGTAATTGCTCTGGTAGGAAGATTGAGGCCTAGACATTTTTACTGATCTCTATAGTCTATCAGTAGATCAGTTTTCATATAAACTTCATGTCCCCAGTAATCCAGGGGGCTAGCAGCTAACCGTTCTATTGCTGGATCTAGTGTTGCCTCCTGCAGAAATAGCTGGAGAGGAAGAGATGAATATACTATGTGTGTTATCTTGTGTCAGAAAATGGTTTGCAGGAAAGAGAAGACAGGAGAACCTCCCTGGGATGATTGTGTATCACAAGGATGGTTAGTAGGCTGGGAGTTGAACAGCTACCCTTAGAGTGGTCTGATAAATATACCAACAAAATACAGAATTGTATTTAAAACAGACATGCTAATATGGTGTTCTTTTTGCTATGCAAATACTAAATGTTGCATATTTCCCTTATCTTGACAAGGGTGCCACTTTAATTCCAGTGTTTCCTGCTTCTCTGAGTGTTTCATGGTTGGATCAAACTGATTATTCTCGAGTGTCTTTCTCTCATTGTGTGTCTATTTTTCAGCCAGACATTAATCAATTTTTTTGTTTAATCTTTATCATGTAGCCCCTCACCTGAAGAAGGACAAATCACCTTTGATGTTGAGATGCACACAAGTAAAGACAGCTTTCAGGTATTCATTCTTCATAGAACTTACAGAACGATGTACACAAACACAATAGCACGTCACTGAGAAGCGAGATCTAAATCAGGGTCTGAGCACAGCATGTACTTGCTTGTCATTGTCATCACTCTTCTAATTAGCAACATATATAGAAGTGCAGAGTCTCGTGGGACATCCGAGGTTCGTGTCTATACTTGTGTTTGACAGCCCTTTCTGAGCACATCTATGTACGCTGCTTTATGGTGCCCATAGAAAATAAATGGCAACCCTCTGATCTGGCTGGAGCAACTGTATGGGCCACCTGCCAACTGTGCTGGCTATGGCTCATTGTCAGGGCAGGAACACTGGAACGGGCAGGCAGGCCTATGGTACGGTCACGCTGCGACTGACGACAGCCACTACCCACAGACCAGAGCCCCTCAGGGCGCGGAGTCTAAGCCCCAGGCTACCCTTCACCAGGGCCCCTGATGGTGGGGATGGACTTGACGCAGCCTGAGACCAGGTCGCGGCCCCCGAGTGACCCAGCTGCGATAACGACTGCCGCCAATGGCGTACAGCTGGTGGGAGCTAGATGGGAACACGAGTAGAGTAGTCAGACAAGCCGGGTCAATAACAACGGAGCAGACAGTACTAGACGGTAGGAAAAGAATACTCAGGTCACGGGCCGGGTTCAGCAACGGAAGGTCAGGTAAAGGGTTAACGCAGAGAATAGTCTTGTCAAAGCCGAGTCGGTTACCAGGAGAGCAATGGGAACAACACAAGAGCTTGCAACAGGGCAACATACAGGACACAAGTGCAGAGCACACTTGCAGACAGCAGGTTTAAATGTGCTCAACCACACCCTTCTGAGGAGGAGCCGCAGAAGCCTGAAGGCATAAAGGTTCCCACCATGCTTTGCAGAAAACCAAGATGGATGCCAGCTCATGGAGATGCACAAGCTCTGAAGAAAGGTAGGACCTTGACACTCATGTGGTGGTATCGCATTAAAGGGCCTATAATTGCTATTGTTTTCACCTGGTAAACCAGTGTTGGAGATGTTGGTAGTTCACAGCTCCAGAGGCCTAGATATGTAGGATTACTCCATGTGAACATTCTTTTTGAGGGCTATCCTGGCCTGTGGACAGTAAAATCACACCCGCACCAGCATCCTTGTGTATTGGGCAAGTGTAACGGTCTTTAGAACGACAAGCTTTTTTAACCACTTGCCAACCGGCTGCAGTACATATCAGGGGCGGACTGACCATTCGAGCACTCAGGCACTGCCCGAGGGCCCGGGGTCAGTAGGGGGCCCCATGAGATGCCCCTGGTACTTTTTTCATAGGCTTTTTTGGGTGTGGGCGAGGACACAGGGGCCCCATAATCCCATATTGCCTGGGGGCCCCATGAGTTGTCAGTCCACCCCTGGTACTTATACTGCGGCAAGGTCTCTCCTACAAGGCACAGCGACGTACCTGTACATTGCTGCCTGTTTCCGGGTTTTGGGCGTGCACGCGCTACCTCGCCTGCCTACTCCTCTGTGATTTGACTCAGCGGGAGTTTGTCAGCAGAACGCAGCTAATGATTCATGCCTTGGACC